CCTTCGAAGCGACAGGTGGTCTCCGGGAAGGTGCGAGGTTTAATTTTCTTTCGGGCAGTCTCGTAGGAGTTGATGGGCGTGGATGGGGATCAGCCAGTGGACCCCGTCCACGGGGAGTGTCTCAAGAAGTTGTCTCGGGAGGAGCCCAGGGGCCCCTCCTTGGAAGGCACCGCGCGGTGCCCCATCTCGCTGCTCGAAGGGCCCACCCAGGGACTCAACTTCGCCCGGGGCCCAGCCGCTTTTCTTGTAGACCTGTGCTTGCCTCGCAACGGCCACTGGAATAGGTCACGGGCCGCTCCGCCGCTCCACGTGGCTGCCTGGGTCTTTTTGTGGCTGGAGACGCATGGTGGGCCTGGTTTTTCACCACCACCACCACCATAAGCTGGAGGAGGAAAGGAGGTGGAGGATGAGGAGGAGGAGGAGGAGGAGGAGGAGGAGGACTCAGAGGAGGAGGACGAAGAGGAGGAGGAGGAGGAGGAGGAGGAGGAGGAGGAGGAGGAGGAGGAGGACCCCCTCCCCCTCTTACTCATGGTGGTGGCGGTGGAAAACAAGCCCACCAACGCAGGAGAGGCCGGAAGGGGAGGGGGGGGGCGCATTTCACCGAGATGAAGAATCACCTCGCGGAGGCTCACGTGCGGAGGCTAACGGTGGCGGAGGAGATGCCTTCCATCGGGGGGCGGCGGCTGAAACTGCTAAGCGCGGGGCCCAGCTGGCCCAGCCCAGCCCCCCGAGTCCTGCCTGGGGAGGCCAAAACTTCGGGGTGGGAGGGAAACGGGTTCAACAAACGAGGTATTACGACGCATCGTTCTGAAGAGCCATCTCAATCATCCGCTGCCGTCGTCGCCATGTGTAGCTGGAAGCAGTCACGAGTGAAACGCTGGCTGTTTTTGTTCTGGATGGTCATCGATGTTCCGACAGTGATCGCTCTTGCGTGTAGCAGACTGAAGAAAAAGGGAAGGAGGGTACGAGTTGTTCCGCCATGATCGGTCTCTCGAGGCCCTTTCCGTGCGCCACGACCGTCAGAAAACGATTCAGCATGACGTCGGTCCTGAGGTGAGCCCGGGGACCGAGGGAGGGAGCAAGGAGGGAGGAGGGATCCCTCCTTGTTCCCTCCTCCCTCATCCTTCTCTTTCCCCCCTGGACCGGGACCTGCCTCATCGAAGGTAGGGATTCCCACGCACATCCCCCTACCCGTCTCGCCAGATCCTTACTCTTCTTTCCAGGCGCCATAGCTTTGAGATAAGGTCCACGTCGGTCTCGAGAGGGGCTCGATGCTCCTGAGGTCCGTTCATGAGAGTACTCCCCTGGCGCTTCTTGTGCTTTCGGGTTCAACTGAGGCGTAGGGGGGCTTTCGTTCCTCTTCCAAGGATCCTTACTGCAATACTTTGACTGCATCCCTTTCCCCCTCCCACAGGGACTGTCTGGCTGCAGAATTTCATGGTACGCACATGTCGCCGACACGCGAGGTGGAGCCGAGCGCGCCCTCCATCTGCTGCCACGCCCAGGCTGCTCTGGCGCTGCACCAGTCGCCACTGCAGCCGATGCGCCTCTGACGTGCTCGGCTCCTTCGTCGTCGTCGTCGTCCTCCTCCTCCTCCTCCTCCTCCTCCTCCCTCTCCTCCTCCCACCTGGGCCCAGGGATAACATGCCCAGCCAGTGATGAGAGCGGGGATCCAGCAGCTGGCGCGGGGTCCAGCAACTCACCGCACTCTGAGGCCTTGCAACGCCCGAGGAGCCTCAGCTGGAGCCATCCGCGGCAGAACTTGCACCGTCTGACCGATCCCCGTGCCTGCTGGGCCTTGGTATCTCAGCCCCGCCCGTTCGATGTTCGTTTGGGGGACCTTCCTGGGGCCCACCAAACGGATCTGTTCGACTCTAGCTCGACTCAAGTCTGACTCGATTTCGAGTCAAATTCGACTCAGGTTTGACTTATGTTCGACTCAGTTTCGACTTAAGTTTGATTCGAATCGACGGACGGTCGACGCAGCTTCGACGCACGAGTGGAGCAAGTGGCTCCAGGAAGGTCCCCAGAATGAGCATCTCACGCCCGCCCACCACCAAAGGTAGGCGTAGGCCCCATGAAAATCGAAGGGGACAGTATACATCCCCACCAGCAGTGATAGGTCGGCCAGTGTGGCCAAGGCCATGCTGGTGGGGATGGGGATCGGCTACGGTGGGCTCGTGTCGCGTCGACGCGATTGCGACCCCAGTGCGGGCCTTCCAAGGTTGAATGCCGCCCGTGGCCCAGAATCGGCCAATCTGGGACGACCTGGCGATCGAAAAGCCACCGATCGTTGCAGGTCGAACGACCCGCGCGGCGTCGGAAACAAACGCCGCAGATCTTCACGACACGAGCTGGCCGCAGGCGATGCTCCGTGGCGACCTCCGCAGGACCAGGGCCTGCAGCCACAGCAGCTCGTGCTGCTCCGGCGCGCGGGCTCCGCGCCGCTCGAGGGCGAGCTGGCCGGGTGCACCACCGTGGAGGCCCTGCGGCGCGCACGGCCTCCTCCTCCTCCTCCTCCTCCTCCTCCTCCTCCTCCTGCTGCTGCTGCTGCTCCTTCGGCTCGTCCGGCTCCTCCTCCTCCTGCTGCTCTTCCTCCTCTTCCTGCTGCTCCTCCTGCTGCTCCTCCTGCTCCTCCTGCGGCGCGCACGGCCTCCTCCTCCTCTTGCTCCTCCTCCTGCTGCTCCTCCTCCTCCTCCTCCTCCTCCTCCTCCTGCTGCTGCTCCTCCGGCCCGTCCTGCTCCTCTCCGGTCTTGCCTCGCAGGGCTGTGGCACCCGCAGGGCCTGAATTTCGATGCGGCTCGATGCCGCCTCCGGCCGGCCTGATCCGAATCGATTCCGGTTTTCGTGCGATCCGATTCGGCCCGACGCTTGCCTGGGCGCGTCCTGGCGCGGCTGATCTGATTCGATTCCGAATCCGTGCCACTGCGGCCCGATCCGACTTCCATTCCGACTCGATCTGATTTTTTGTTTCGATGCTTGCGGATCCTGCCCGCCCGGCTGTTGTGCAACACGTTGTGAGCTTGACTCGCGCCTTCGAGGGCAGCCGAACCGAGCCACGAGTCAGCTGCCCGAGGTTCCGACACAAGACGCGCCCAGGAGGCGCCCAGGAGGTCACCGCCCACCAAACCACCCCAACCCAACACGAAGGCCTCGATTTGCCCTCCATTTCCGGTGGGGGGGGGGTCGGGGAACATCGCAAAAACACATATGGAGCCCATGCGCCACCCAACCAGAAATCCGGGTCTTCGGGTTGGGTTGGGGTGGTCTGGTAGGTAGTCAGGAGGGCCCCAGGAGGATCCCAGGAGGCCCCCAAGAGACACCACGGGCCTTCCCAAGAGGGCCTCTGGCAGCTTAGGTTTTTAGGGTCTTCAGCGCTCTCGCCTTCTCAAGATCTTCTGCACTCCCAATCGGCACGACAGCCCCCAAAGACCGCTTCAAGGCAGCCCAAGAGGTCCCAAAGACCGCCCCAACACGTCGCAAGATGGCCCTGGGACGGCCCACGATGGCCCCAAGGCGACCCCGGGAGGGGCCCAGGAGGGGGAGCACAAGTCGGAAGCCCGAGGTTCTGACGCAAAAAAGGCGCCTGGGAGGCGCCCAGGAGGCTCCCACTCCTCCTCCTCCTCCTCCTCCTCCTCCTCCTCCTCCCCCTCCTCCTCCTCCTCCTCCTCCTCCTCCTCCTCCTCCTCCTCCTCCTCCTCCTCCTCCTCCTCCTCAGGAGGCGCCCATGAGGCCACCAAGAGACCCCAATAGCCTGCCCTAGGAGTCCAGGATGCCCCCAAGGGGTCCCCTGCAGGCCGAAGAGGGGCCCTGCAGCGCACAGCTAGCCCATGCCGACGACGCGGAGGGAAGGGGAGCGGAGCAGGGGGAGGAGGACTGCAGAGGAAGAGCGTGTTTTGTACCCTCTGGGCCATAACGCGCGTTATGCCCCCCTTCCCTCCCCTCCCCCCTCCAGAGGGTAGCGCCTCCCCCGCCCTCCCCCCCCCGTTGTGCTCCTCGGGCGCTGCCATTGTGATGCTCGCAGGCTCCTGTGGTGCTTGTCGTCGATGTAGTCCTTGTCATTGTTGCCGTCGTCGTCGTCGTCGTCGTCGTCGTCGGTCGTTGCTTTAGTCGTCGTCCTCGTCGTCCTCGTCCCTGTCGTCCTCGTCCCCGTCGTCGTCGTCGTCCTCGTCCTCATCGTCATCGTGGCGGTCCTCGTCGTCGTCGTCGTCGTCGTCGCCGAGGGCCTCGAAGGGCCTCCAGACGCCTCCTGAGGTCTCCGGAGACCGCCTCTGGAGACCTCCAGACTTTCAGAGGCGAGAGTCGTCCTTGTCCTCGTCCTTGTCCTCGTCCTCGTCGTCGTCGTCCTCGTTCTCGTCGTCTTCGTCGCCGTCGTCGTCGTCGTCATCGTCTTCGTCGTCGCGGTGGTTGTCGTCGTCGTTGTCCCCGTCCCCATCCCTGTCCCCGTCCTCAACTTCGCACTCGTCCTCGTCGTCGTCGTTGAGGGCCTCGAAGGCCCCCCAGACACCTCCAGAGGTCTCCAGAGACCTCCTTAGACCTCCGGAGACCTCTGGAGACCTTCAGAGGCCGCTTGCGTTCTTGTCATCGTCCTCATCTTCGTCCTTGTCTTCGTCCTCGTCCTTGTCGTCATCGTCGTCCTCGTCCTCGTTCCCGTCTCGTCTCGTCCTTGTCGTCGCTGTCGTCCTCGTCGTCGTCGTCCTCGTTCGCGTCCTCGTCATCGTCGTCGTCGCCGGGGGCCTCGAAGAGCCTCCACGCCTCCAGAAGTCTCCGGAAACATCCGTAGGCCTCCAGAAGACCTCCGGAGACCTTCGTAGGCGTCCATTGTCGTCGTCCTCCTCGTTGTCGTCGTCCTTGGCGTCGTCGTTGTCGTCCTCGTCCTCGTCATCCTCGTCCTCGTCCTCGTCCCCGTCCCCGTCCCCGTTCCCGTCCTCGTCCTCTTCCTTGTCCTCGTCCTCGTCCTCGTCCTCGTCCTCGTCTTCGTCCGTGCCCTCCCTGTTCCGAAGCGATTTGGGCTCAAGGGACAGTCTTGCAGCTGAGATTGGGCCCCTCGCACCCGACTTGCCCGCCCGCTCGATCCGTCCTCCAGTTGCGATTCGAGCATGGCGCTCCCAGTGGTGAGCCGGGTCGAACCACGTTATCGCGTGTGCGGCTTCATCACTGTCGTATTTTCATTCGGCGGGTTGATTCGATCTTCGTCGGAGGCAACGCCCTCGTTAAAAGTGCAGAGATCTCCAAGTGGGGACACATGCCGGATGTAAGTTTATGCGCGGACCCTTCTGGTGATTTCAATGTTCAGTTTGACGATGCCTCCGCTTATGGCGATAGTGGTGTGGCGTCCACATTCACCTTTGGGGCTGGCGGGGACGCACTGCGGGGTGACGGAGATGAAGACATAATCCCCATCCGCGTGAATAATCAGTGCGTTAATTTCAGCACGTCCGTGCTCACACCTTCATTCCCGACCGATGGAGTGAACAATTGGGTGACTTTGAAGTTCGCCTTCAACCAGTTGAGCGACGAAGATTATACATGGCCCGACCGAAAGATATGGTTCATCGATCCAGAAACGGGGTTCAGGTCATGGGATGGTTACCTGAGAGCATTTCCGGCCTCGGATTGTCAACGACAGGTGAAAGTGATCAACCTCATAAGGCATCCTATAGTACATAAGTCTGTGAAGTCGAACCTTGAGGAACTATTTGGAGGCGGCTCCAGCTACCAGCACCATAACGACTAGTATGGAAGTGAATACGTGACTGAGGTCAACAAGGATGACCGGGATTTTCCCCCGCGACAGATGTCCATTGGACCAGGCACGAAAGATGACCCTGATTAGCAGCTGGTCGTCTACTGTCTCAGTGTGGATAAAGTAACAGTCGAACGTATGGGCCTTTCTACGAAGTTTCACTGTATTTGGCTCGGGCGGGTGGATTCTTATCAATTATCGACATCATAGATTCAATGTGTTGCCTCTGCCTCGAGCGGCCGCTTTGGCCCTGGCGGGCTGCCTCCGACACTTGGGGCCCCTGCGCATATGCTCGTGGATAGCCATCACCTTCGAAGCGTGCCCGAGGCTTCGCGTCCCAGCTGCTCGGGAAGCACCTTGTGGCGCCGCGGGCCCCAGCCGGGCGTCAGTGCAGCGCGCGGGGCCTGCTGCGCCGCGACGCGCAGATCGGGGGCCCGGGCAGGACGGGCATGTCCGACGCCGCGGTGCTTCTGGACCGCTGCGAGTGGCTGACGCCCAGCCTACCCGCCCTGAAGATGCAGTCGCGCGAGGACGGAGCCCTGTGGGATTTCTTGTTTGCAGCGCTGCAGCGGCAGTTCTCGGCTCTGGTCAAGATCCTCGGCCTCGACCCGCCGTCGCCGCACCCGCGCTCGCTGCGACGCGGCGGAGCCAGCGACGACCTCGCCACAGCCTCGCGCACCCAGGAGGAGGTAAGGGCGAGGGGCAGGTGGGCGACGCTCACCAGCCTCAAACGCTGCGGGGAGACCACCTGGCTGCTGTTGGAGATGGCGAAGGCGCCCGAGGACGCGCTCGCCTTCGGCCGCGAGGTGCAGGCAAGCTTCAGCAACGTGCTGTCCGAGGGCTTCGCCGGGCCTCTGTTGGTGGCGCGCCTTCCTCCGCGCCTGGCCGAGGCCCCGGGCCCCGCCGGCGCCGTTCCGCGCGGGCTGCCGGGGAGTATCTAGATCACGAGGTGCGGTGGTGGTTGCAGCGGGCCTTCCAGGCTGGCGCTCGGCTTGTTTTCTTTGCTCTGTTCGCCAGATTTGGCTGGATCTCTAGAGCTCTGATTTCGCGCAATGTCACTCGGAATTGTCAGTAAGCCGCGCGGGGGCCACTTGGACCCGACCTTCCACAAACTTACCATTGGTTGGATCGTGCCAGGACGCATTGCTTCGCAGTGGCCTGGCACTCCATGCGCGTCATGGACGCGTGCCCTGAGAACCGAAGAAAGCCTCCCCGCGGCAGCAATACCCCCGCGGGCCTGTCAAACCTCCGCCAGACCGAGCGAGAGCGGCTCCGAGTGGGCGGCGTCAATGTCCAAAACCGGTTTAAAATATAATGCCCCCCCCCGGATCCCGACCGCCATTTATTCGCATCCGAATATTTGTTTGTTTTTATATGTCCCCCCCTGGAAAAATCCCATGGACGCCGATCGATGTCATTTGTATACACCTCGGCGCCAGGGAGAATGCAGATGGGGATGTTCCCGTCTTCCGATCAGAGAATTAATTTTTACATTGAGTTTTCGCCATTAGGTTTTGAAATTCAACATCGCTCCCGTGGTCTAATTTCTATCAGCGGCATGCCGCCGGCCGCGCGCGCGCGCTGGCGATTGGCATTTGCGCATTGGGTGTTGCATATCCGCATGGCAATGTTCCCGTCTTCCGATCAGAAATGAATGTTTCCGCTGGTTTTTTGCAAGTGGATTTTGGAGTTCAACCTCGCCCCCGTTGTATCAAACCTATCAGCGGCATGCCGCCGCCGCGCGCGCGCGCGTTGGCGATTGGCACTTGCACGGTCGATGTCGCATATCCACATAAGGGATGTCCCCGCCTTCCGAACAGAGAATGATTTTTTACATTGGGTTGTCGCCATTGGGTTTTGGAGTTCAACATGGCTCCCGTTGTCTGGGAAATCTGTCAGCGGCATGCCGCCGCCGCGCGCGCGCCCATTGGCGATAGGCATTTGTGAATTCAGCATCGTATATCCACATGGGGATGTTCCCGTTTTCCGATCGGAGAATTTCTTTCATTTTTTTTGCCATTGGGTTTTTGCCATTGGGTTTTGGAGTTCAACATCGCCCCCGTGGTATCAAATCTATCAGCGGGATGCCGCCGCCGCGCGCGTTGTTGCGAATGACATGTTTGCATTCAGTGTCGTATATCCACATGGGGGTGTTCCCGTCTTCCGATCGGAGAATGGATTTGTTAATCACGGGTTTTCGCCATTGGGTTCCGGAATTCAACATCGCCCCCGTGGTATCAAATCTATCAGAGGCATGCCGCCGCCCCGCGCACGCTCTTTGGCGATTGGCATGTTTGCATTCAGTGTCGTATATTCACATGGGGATGTTCCCGTCTTCCGATCAGAGGATGTTTTTTTTTTGTTTTTTTACATTGTGTTTTCGCCATTGGGCTTTGGATATCAAATTTCGTCCCATTGTATAAAAGCTATTAGCGACATGCCGCCGCCGCGCGCGCGCGAAAATTCGCCCCGCTGTATAAAATCTATCAGCGGCATGCCGCCGCCGCGCGCGCGGTGGCGCTTGGTAGTTTTGCATTCAGTGCCGTATATCCACATTGGAATGTTCCCGTCCTCCGATCAGACAATGGTTTTTAACATTGGGTTTTCGCCATTGGGTTTTGGAGTTGAACATCGCCCCCGTTGTATAAAATCTACCAGCGGCGTGCCGCATTTGCGTATTCAGTGCCGCTTCGCAACCCAAGCAGGGTGCGCAGGGGGTGGTCCTTGAGCGCAATATCTATCCACGCTGGGGTCGCAGGGCGTGGCAGGCGTGGCCTGACGCCAAGAGGGGGTGCACAGGAATCTGCCCCTGCACGCAGGGCGCCAGGGCGGTGGCGAGGACGGATCCAGTGAACTAGTTTGCCCCGCCTCCCTTTGTTGTATTCTATAGGCAGACTACAGCGCTGGGGAAAACCATTTGTTTAACTGTCTCCCCAAATTATGTTTTTTAAACAGTGGTTACACATTAGCTAAGATTCGAACGGCTCACAATGTCCATATATATATATATCCCAGTGATCCTCGCATTTCGATAAGTTGGTACACGAGTGATATCATACTCCTTATGAGAAGTTTTGTCTGTTTTGGTGGGCGCTGTGATTTTCGTCCCTACAACATTCCCTGACAAAAAAGGCAACCAGAGTTACCATCTGGAATTGAGGTCGCCCCACAGCTATGTGTAAGCAGTGTCAGGGCGAGCGTGGTATTTGTAGTAGAACACAACAGCGTCACATCGAATCGTTCCGGCAATACGCCCGGAGAACGCAAGTGGAAAGTGTAGCCACCCCGTATTTTTCTCATTGTGTTGCGGCTGCAGACAAGAGCATGTCAACCGCCGCAGAGGTTGCATAGTCTTTCTAGGGGCCTGTAGTGCGCCCAGTCCTGGCCAGAGTACTGGTGCGGGATCGGGAGATACTGGTGCGTGCCTCTTTTTCAACGCCTCATCTCTCAGCAATCTGGTTTCGCTCAGTGGCGGCCCCTATGTGAAGCCGTCGCGCTTGCATCACGATGAGAAAGGAAGCATCGCATCCCCTGGTCAGTGGAGAGAACCTCTGGGTCGGGTGTTTTCACAAGTTTCAGCCAGGAGGTGTCGCATGTGGCCGCACGTGAACACTCGTTCTGTCATTCTCTAGGCCCCCGCCGTCCATCTCGTTGCCCCTCGTCTCCCCATTTCGAATGGGAGATCCTGGTGCGTGCCTGTCTCAATTTCTTTCAACGCCTCATCTCTCAGCAGTCTGGATTTCGCTCAGTGGCGGCCCCTATGTGAAGCCTTCGCATTTGCATCACGATAAGAAAGGAAGCATCGCATTCCCTTGTCAGTGGAGAGAACGTCCGGGCTTCACATATCTATAGAAGGAGACGTATATTCAACAAAACAAGAGACATAGAGAGGTCCCGGAGTACAGAATTCGGGGTGCACGGGGAACGAGGGAGCAGGTATGAGGTAGGATGGAGGTGAGGGACCAGCATATGAAGACCTCGCTGTACTCTGTCCATCCCGAGTCTCAGGCGCGTAGTGACGATACAGGCCTCGGAACAAATTAGCGAACACATGCCACATTTATCCGTCAACGCCCCCCCCTCCCCCCAAAGTTCAAAGTTGGCGGTGGGTCTGATGAAATGCACTTCGACCGCAGTCTCCCCCGCGCGTGCCAACATTGAGTTTGGGGGGGAGGGGGACTGTTCAGTAATTGTTTCCCTCTACCGTATTGCAGGGCCTCGGTCAGTCCCATAAGTCTGCGGCGACAGCAGGATCCATGGCCTCGGCCTCGACAGCCGCCACACCTCGGCCGAGAAACAGGGGGTCCCAACTGGCGGCCGCCGGGCCAGGCCACCAGGGTGCGCCCGCCACGAAATCCCAGGAAGATCCGCACTGTCAGGGCTGAGTGCTTACATGGCCTCGTGGATGTGATTCATTGGGGACTGTCTGGGGGTCTTCAACCACCCCGAGGAGCAGAGCGAGTCCGCCGAGGAGGACTGAGATGGAAGGGGACGTGGCAAGGAGGGGGGTAAAAGGGCGGCATTGGACAGCAGGAGGGGAGAATCCGAATGGGGCGATGCGGAGGAGGGGGGAGGAATGGGAGAGGGGGGTACGGGGCAAGCTAGGTGCGCTCGCACCATATCTGACATCCTACCCCTCCCACCCATTCCTTCCCATTGCGCTGTTTTTTTCTCGACCCGCCGACCCGTGTAACAGCGGACCTGGGATTCGAGCGAGGACCCCAGTGTGTCATGCGCAATCAGGCAAAAGGGGAGCTGCGTACACTGGATGAGGGGGTGGCGGACGAACAAGAGGATGAACAGGAGGACAAAGGAATATGATCAGAGAGGATGGGGATGAGAACGAACAGCAGCATCAGGAATTGGAGCAGAAGGAGCAGGAGGAGCAGAAGGACCAAAAGCAGGCGGAGGAGTGGAAAGAAGGGGAACAACGATGTTGTAAGATTCGGATCCAGAAAATGGTGGCCCGCGCTGGGGCGAGGGTGCCATTTTGAACAACTGTGGCAAAGCGCCGATCGCTGCAGCCGCAGCACCATGAGGCTAATTTTGGAGCTGCAGCACCATTCTGAGACACCGACGTTCCGATTAGAAAATCGAGCATATCATGAAAACGCGATTGTTTTTCCTTTCCAGAAAAAAGTGGAGGGGGGCGGGCGACTCCTTGGCGATCTTCGAAGGAGAGAGCAGAGTAATTGTCATCTTGAGTAATTGTAAACGGGGAGGGGAAATGAGTGTCGGAGTGATTGCGGATGAGGGTGGAAGGGGAGGAAGGAAGAGGAAATATGGCTGATTAGTGATGGATGAGTGGGGTGGACGAGGTGAGCACCCCATTGGATGCTAAAGAGGCCGGTGGAGTCCGATCGTGCCCGCCCCCCTGGCGCGGGCGATGGGCTCTCACCCGGTGCACTCCGATCGACAGGTGGCCAGCGTGGATAGACTGGAGGACATGCTGGCCAGCCCGCTGAAGGACATGAAGAACGTGCTGGGCATCTTCCATCTTGCGGGTGTCCTGGACGACGGCATCATCAGCGGTATGACGGAGGAGACGCGTTGTCTCTGCGGCGCGTGTGCGCGCCGCGGCTTCAGGAGCCACGTCTCACGCGGCCAGCGCCACAAAGGAAGCGCCCCTCCCAGCGGGAAGGCCCCTCCCCCTGGAGACGACGCGTGGGTCTGGAGGCGTTTCGAGCGCACCCGTGCTGGCTCCAAGCCATGCCGCCGCCCGTGGGCTGGGAAGGCAGCGGCGGTGGTCGCGGCAAGGGGCACCGCGCAGTTGCAAGCGTCCGCGCGACTGTTCCCACGGCAGGTTCGCGTCGTGTCGTCCGGCTGTGACCCCGCCACTGGCGTTCAACGTTGGACGCTCCGCTGCCGGCGGCCCAGAATCAGGTGATGTTAAACGATCCGACGTGTCGGAGACGGCAGATCGTTCAGGGTTGAGCCATCCCCGCGGTGTGTCAGAGACAACGCCGAAGTCGGCACGACACGAGCCTGCGGCACGTGGAGATCTGACCCCGTTGCGCTGCCGCGCGCGTTTGCCACCGCGCTCGGGTGGGGAGGGCGTCCGGGGGAGGGGAGGGGGGGCAGCTGGGAGGGGGGCGGGGGCACGGCGCGGCGTCCGGGCGCGGCGGGCTCGCGCCGGCGGCGGTGCCGGGCGCCTCCTCCAGGAGGAGGCAGGAGGAGGAGGAGGAGGAG